GTCGCTTTCGCGGGGTGCTCGCGGCAGGCCAGGGATGCTACTGGCAGCCACGGCTTCAAGCTGGAGTCCCTGCTCTGCCTGGCAGCCTAGGGCACCACTGCCTGACCTCCCCCCCCCATTGCCTCTAGGCTTTTCCAGGTGTTCAGCGCGCGGCCCCTCGCCCCCCCAGCCATGCCCGTGGACCTGGCCATGAGGCTCTGCCTGAGCCACTCACCTCCCATCCGCAAGTTGCTGAACTCCTATGAGGAGCTGCGGGGCAGCCGAGGATGCAAACCCCTCCGCTCCTGTCTCAACCAGAAGCTGAGTGCAGAACCAGAGCCCGAGCGGCGAGATAGCACCAAGAGCTCCAAAGGTCAGAAGAAGAAGAGGGTGGTGTTTGCTGACATGAAGGGGCTCTCACTGACTGCTGTCCGCTTCTTCTCAAAGATTGAGGAGGATCTGTGTGATCTGCAACATGCCCTGTCTGACCTCGCCTGCTTCCGGCCCAGGCTGCGGGACCCACGTCCGCAGGTGTGCAGGTATGTGCTGGACTTCTCACAGCCCTCTGCGGACTACGTGGCTTTCCGCAGCCGCCTACACAGCAACCTAGTCTGCCTGGAGAACTGTCTGATCCAGGACCGTGCCCTGTCAGGGACAGTGAAGGTCAGAAACATCGAGTACGAGAAGAAAGTGATGGTCCGCATCACCTTCGATGGCTGGAGGAGCTTCCGGGATGTCTCCTGCCAATACATGCACAGCACATACGGCTCAGCCGACACAGACACCTTCTCCTTTGAGCTTACCCTGCCCAAGCCATCCAACTACCACAGAGCCACAGAGTTCTGCATCTCCTTTCAGTGCAGGCAGGCAACCCACTGGGACAACAATCACGGGAGGAACTACAAGATCTGCCATGTGGGCATGATCTGCTCACCCTCCCATCCTGCAAAGAGTGCCAATGGGGCCAAGGGGCATCTCGGCACCTCTCGGGCTGCAGCCCTCGTCCTTTCTCATCTGCAGACCTGGCGGCACTCAGAGACCCAGGGTCCTTATTGGTAGGATAGTAGTGTATTGGGGAGCGTAAATTTCCTCCATGTTCCTGCCTTGGTACAAGGGTCTTTGGGGAGGGGTTCAGCTGCAGAAGATGCTGTTTGCTATTTTGCTAACTCTTCCACATCTCTGACTTGCTGCTGTACAAGCAGCTACAGGTCTTCACGGAAGCTTCTTCAATGCTGGTTCCTGCCTTAGAGGCTGGAAACTGCTGCTTGTTGTTATTCCTGTTTCTAGGTTCTCAAGGCAAAAAGCTACTGTGAGAGCAGGAGAGGGACAGAAGGAAGGTGCTATGGCCCATGTACCACATCTCTGTTTAGAAGCTGCTTAGGGTGAGAACCAGCCACATGGAACAGTGCAAGTCAAAGGTGCGGCCCAAGTGCCTTGTGTAGGAAAGATGTTTAGGAGAAAGGGCATACCCCCTCCTGCTGTGCCTGGGGTCTTAAAGCAGAGCATAAGGCTCCCAAGCTGCACCTAAGGCAACAGCAGGGGTCTTGGGCAGGAGCTGTGCCTGCTTTGCAGCACGAGCGACTAGCTCCAGTGTCATTCCAGCTTCCCTGGGAAAGGGCTCAGTGTAGGGGGACAAGTCCTAGTTGCAGGTTCTCCAAGCCGCAGTCCCTGGGAAGGGGCAGCCGGTGGGTTTTTAGTCTTGCAGATGACTGAATGCATAGGCCAGGCTGCTGGCCAGCAGATTCCCAGGCCGGGCACTGCAGCAGGACTCAGCGGCTCGGCCGGCTTCGCGGGCGGCCCTACCAGCTCTTTGCTGCAGCCTGCTGCCGGCAG